CCAGTGGAGGGATTGGCAGAGAGGGGCGGAGGACACTGAGTGGAGGCCAGTGGAGGGATTGGCAGAGAGGGGCGGAGGACACTGAGTGGAGCCAGTGGAGGGATTGGCAGAGAGGGATGGAGGACACTGACTGGAGGCTAGTGGAGGGTTTGGCAGAGAGGGGTGGAGGACACTGAGTGGAGGCCAGTGGAGGGATTGGCAGAGAGGGGGTGGCAGATACTGAATGATTGGTAAGGTAGATGAGTCTGGCAGCAGTATTCATGATGGACTGGAGGGGGGGATAGCCTGTGTAAGCCAACGAGGAGGGAGTTGCATGGGTCAAGGCGGGAGATGACCAGGGAGTGAGTTAGAAGCTTTGCGGTGTCGTTGGTTAGGAAGGGTCCTATCTTGGAGAAGTTGCAGAGGTTGAGGAGCAATTGGATATGGGGCCGAAAGGAAGGACTGTAGCCAAAAGGTTGGAAGGGCTATTGCTACCCTGGTCCATTTGCTCACTGTCCTCAGGTGGAACTTCACATTGAGGTGGACCTGCAATAAAGCTTCACTGGGCATTTAGCATTGGTTGCATTTTTAGGTGCGGGTGGAAGGCATAGACCTACCATGCAACCCCAATGCCAGCAGCCCGTTAAACTCCATGAAAGGCTGAAAGCAGCCTGATGGGATTGGTTGGGGAAGTGAGTACTGACGTTTTGCACAATATGCGCCCGGGAGAAATGCCTGGAATGTAGACTGACTGCATTATGGGGTGACTGGCCAATGGAATGTGCCTGAGAACATATAGTGACTGGGTGTAATGCTGGTATAAAGGGGCTAGGCCGGTGGTGGGAGTGCTAGCAGCGCCAGATGTAGGATAAGAATACGTTTTTGTGTCAATCACTATTGTTCTATCTGTCTTCACTTTCAATTCTTCCTCTACACCTGCCGCGGCACACCTAAGTTGTCATGGGGGAGGGGGGTGCAAGGGTTAGCCGGAGGAGGAGGTGGGGGAGGGGGGGCATTTAATCCACACACAAAACTCAGGCATACTCTATGACAAGACATGCGTCTTTATGATTAAAGTGATTGTAAATTCAGATTTAAAAAAAAAAAATAACCTACCTGATCTATGTAATGGGTTTTCACAGAGCAGTCCTGGTTCCGTGCTTCTCAGGTCCTCTGTTGGTGCTCCTGTCTCCTCCCCCTCCGAGTGACCACCATAGCAAGCCACCTATTATGGGGGCACTCGCGTGGGCTCAGTCCTAAGCCTATGAGGAGGCGGAGACAGGTGCAGTTCTCAGGTTGCTGGATCAGGATTGGGCTCAGGTAAGTATAAGGGAGGACTGGACCAAGAAGCTGAACTCAGGTTTTTTTTTTTTTTTAAAGTGATACTAAAGGCTTACATTGTATTTATATAACAAACATGTTATACTTACCTGCTCTGTGTAATGGTTTTGCACAGAGCAGCCCTGATCCTCCTCTTCTTGGGTCCCCCACTGGACCTCTGGGCTCCTCCCCCCCACCCAGTGTCCCCAGAGCAAGCACATACGTGTTTGCTCCCAAGCCCCGCTCTGTGTGTCCATAAGACACACAGCGCAAACCTCAGCCCCGCCTCCTGACCCCCACTCACTGGCTCTGATTGACAGAAGCTGGAGTCGCTGGTTTCCACTGCTGTCTATAATGTCGAGGCAGAGAACTGGGATAGCAACCTCTCTTGCTACATCAGGATTGGGATCGGGTAAGTATTAGGGGGCTGCAGGGGGAGCTGCATAGAGTTCATGAAGGCAAAAAACCTTCAGGCTTTATAACTACTTTAATGCAGAGAATTCATTAAGGTATGTAGTGCCCTTCTAGTTATCCAGGGGGATCTAGCTAGGCTTCTTTTAGTTACAGCCTGGGATGAGTCAGCCAGGTCAGGTCTGAGGGATCTGCAGGTTGGTTCCCCGATACCTCCCCCTGCTCTGAAAACTTGAGAAGTATCTAGAATGCAGTGGGTGGGGGTGAAGAGGGACTGATCTGCATACCCAAGAGCCTCTGACCAATCCCCAAAGAGGAGGCTTAGCATGTGGTCAAGAGAGCCCTAAAGTATGAGAGAGCCTGATCAGGAGAGAGTAGTGTCAGGTGGAAGATGGAGTGAAGGTTGGAGCGTGGAGCCTGGGAGGGACCTACCTACAGGCTGGAGCTGGACAGGAGGATCTCTCTGCCTCTCCATCCCTTGAGAGAGGACAGCCTGGGAAGTCAGGAAGGAGCCACTCCAGTACGCTGACCTGCGCTAAAATGCAGGTCAACGCACTGGTGTGAATTGGCCCTTTCTAAAAACGTTTACAGTGTTCTGAGTGCGGACGAGTGCCTTTTTATTGTAGCCCATACGGAGGTTGGTGAGCCAGAGTCCTTCTTGACCAGCACCGGCCATCAATGCAAGCAGCATGGAGAAGACACGGCTTGCTGGGGCATTGGGGTGCCACTGTTTTCTTTTCACTCTTGTAGGTAAACCAAACTGAGCGCTAGACTTATAAAGGCATAGTGAACCTTTTGCAACCCAAGGTAACAGAGTATGAAATGCTGAAAGAAATATTCCAAGACCCCCACAAAAAAAAAAAATCACTCCTCTTAGAACATGATTACAGTTACCTTAGATTGTACGCCCCCTGAGGTTAGGGACCTTAGTTTGTATGCCCCTTAAGGGTTACGGACCTTAGATTGTACGCCCCTTGAGGGTTAGGGACCTTAGATTGTAATCCCCTTGAGGGTTAGGGACCTTAGATTGTACGCCCCTTGAGGGTTAGGGACCTTAGATTGTACGCCCCTTGAGGGTTAGGGACCTTAGATTGTACTCCCCTTGAGGGTTAGGGACCTTAGATTGTACTCCCCTTGAGGGTTAGGGACCTTAGATTGTACTCCCCTTGAGGGTTAGAGACCTTAGATTGTACTCCCCTTGAGGGTTAGGGACCTTAGATTGTACTCCCCTTGAGGGTTAGGGACCTTAGATTGTACTCCCCTTGAGGGTCAGGGACCTTAGATTGTACGCCCCTTGAGGGTTAGGGACTGTCAGGAATGGACTGGCCAGCTATGGTGGGACTCACCTGCCTTTTGATCTGCAGTACCAGGGCTGGCCAGCGGGTGTTCCCAGCAATCAGAGACTCAACTTTGCAGCCAGCTAACACCTGTAACTGATTATGCTGGGGTATTTAAGGGATGGCCAGACCCACAGACTCTGCCTTGGTGTGTGTTTGTCCTGGGCCCTGCATCCTGTTTCTGTCCTGCATCCTGTTTCTGAACCGCTGCTGACTTCTCCTGCTCTGATCCCGGCTCGCTCCTGACCATCCCTCTGTCTGACCCTCTGTACCACGCTGCTTGCTACCTGTTCTGATCCCTGGCTTGTGACCCTGACCAATCTCCGCTTGCTCCCCCTGTACCTACCTGCCCTATTGATATTGACCCAGCCTGCCTGACGACGCTTGCTTGTATGTACTGTTATCTGTGGGTGGTTGGTTTGGTTTGGTTTGTTTGCGCTGTATTATGTTTTAGTATTGCACTGCGTTTATGTTTGTATTGTTAGTGTTAATAAATTATATTGTTTATAACATATCTGAGGTCTGCGTTTCCCTGCGTCAGTCACACACCTCTGGTCACACCTGGGAGCCCTGACATTACACCAAGGCCAATCCTGACCAGAAGTGGCTGCACAGGGAAGCCATCTTGGCTTGTTGATGGGAAGGATGGATCTGGATGAAGTTGAGTATTTATCTCTGCTAGTGCTTGATGACAGGGAGTATGCTTATCAGACTCTGAAGGAGTATCCCCGGGATGAACTGCTAGAATGTATACGGATCGTTCATGTTCTAGTAGATCAGGGCACAGATTTCTCTATGGTGCAGCCATTGATTCAGGTTTGTGTTGAGTTGGTTTCATCTGGTTCCCCCAAATGCAGGGATGAATTTTTGCCACCATTTAGTGCAGACCAGGTAGAGTCCCTGGTGTGGTTATTAGAGGATGATGTGGGTTACTTTCTGGAGCGTTATTCCACATGTTCACCACAGACACTAAGAGATTGTATAAACGCAGTGCAGTCTTTGGTCAGACAGGCTTTGTGTAAGCTCAGCTTTGTTCAACCCATACTGCAGACATGGACAGACTTGTTGCACCCAGCCTCAGTCAGCTTACAAAGACCCAGTCCTGCTTCTAACTCTACTCCTGTATTCCCACCAGCTCCTCCAGTTACAGCCCAGTATACTTGGCTATCTACCGCATGTCAGTACCCTGTTCCCACTCGCTGCACCTATCCTGCCTTTAACCCTGTAAAAAAAGCCCTCTGTAGCAACTGCTCCCTCTCCTGTTCCATCCTCCAGTTTTTCTCTGTCTCCAGCTGCTCCATTCGTTTGCAGACCTGCGTTTACTTGCAGTGCTCCAGTAGTTAAAACCAGAAAAAAGCGAAAATTCTTTCCAACCAATACCATCCTGCCAGTATCCAAACCGGTGAGCCTGCCTTCCGTGGTTCAGCCTGAAGCCTCTACTCAGCCTGAAGCCTCTACTCGGCCTGAAGCCTCTACTCGGCCTGAAGCCTCTACTCGGCCTGAAGCCTCTACTCGGCCTGAAGCCTCTACTCGGCCTGAAGCCTCTACTCAGCCGGATGCCTCTCCTCAGCCTGAAGCCTCTACTCAGCCTGAAGCCTCTACTCAGCCTGATGCCGCTACTCAGCATGATGAACTGATCCAGCCCGACGATCCTATTAGGCCAGTTGACTCGGTGCCCGCAGTCTTGCCAGACGACTCGGTGCCCGCAGTCTTGCCAGACGACTCGGTGCCCGCAGTCTTGCCAGACGACTCGGTGCCCGCAGTCTTGCCAGACGACTCGGTGCCCGCTGTTCCGCCAGTTGACTCGATGCCCGCAGTCTTGCCAGTTGACTCGATGCCCGCAGTCTTGCCAGACGACTCGATGCCCGCAGTCTTGCCAGACGACTCGATGCCCGCAGTCTTGCCAGACGACTCGATGCCCGCAGTCTTGCCAGACGACTCGGTGCCCGCAGTCTTGCCAGACGACTCGGTGCCCGCAGTCTTGCCAGACGACTCGGTGCCTGCTGTTCCGCCAGTTGACTCGATGCCCGCTGTTCCGCTAGTTTGACTCGGTGCCCGCAGTCTTGGCAGACGACTCGGTGCCCGCAGTCTTGCCAGACGACTCGGTGCCCGCAGTCTTGCCAGACGACTCGGTGCCCGCAGTCTTGCCAGACGACTCGGTGCCCGCAGTCTTGCCAGACGACTCGGTGCCCGCAGTCCCGCCAGTTGACTCGATGCCCGCTGTTCCGCCAGTTGACTCGGTGCCCGCAGTCTTGCCAGACGACTCGGTGCCCGCTGTTCCGCCAGTCGACTCGGTGCCCGCAGTCTTGCCAGACGACTCGGTGCCCGCAGTCTTGCCATACGACTCGGTGCCCGCAGTCTTGCCAGACGACTCGGTGCCCGCAGTCTTGCCAGACGACTCGGTGCCCGCAGTCTTGCCAGACGACTCGGTGCCCGCTGTTCCGCCAGTTGACTCGATGCCCGCTGTTCCGCCAGTTGACTCGGTGCCCGCAGTCTTGCCAGACGACTCGGTGCCCACTGTCGTGCCTGGTGACTCGGTGCCCGCCGCTTCGTCTGGGGGCCCGAGACCTGTTGCTCCGCCTGAGGGCCCGAGACCTGTCGCTCCATCTGGGGGTCCGGCGCCCGCCGCTCCGCCTGAGGGCCCGAGACCTGTAGCTCCGCCCGGGGGTCCGGCGCCCGCCGCTCCGCCCGGGGGTCCGGCGCCCGCCGCTCTGCCCGGGGGTCCGGCGCCCGCCGCTCCGCCCGGGGGCCCGATGCCTGTCACCCCGCCCGGGGGCCCGCTGCCTGTCGCCCCGCCCGGGGGCCCGCTGCCTGTCGCTCCGCCTGGTGGCCCGCTGCCTGCTGCTTCGCCTGGTAGCCCGATGTGCCTCTGCCCGGGGTCCTGCCCGATGTGCCTCTGCCCGGGGTCCTGCCCGATGTGCCTCTGCCCGGGGTCCTGCCCGATGTGCCTCTGCCCGGAGTCTGGCCCGATGTGCCTCTGCCCGGAGTCCGGCCCGATGTGCCTCTGCCCGATGTGCCTCTGCCCGGAGTCCAGCCCGGTGTGCCTCTGCCCGGTGTGCCTCTGCCCGGAGTCCAGCCCGATGTGCCTCTGCCCGGAGTCCAGCCCGATGTGCCTCTGCCCGGAGTCCAGCCCGATGTGCCTCTGCCCGGAGTCCAGCCCGATGTGCCTCTGCCCGGAGTCCAGCCCGATGTGCCTCTGCCCGGAGTCCAGCCCGATGTGCCTCTGCCCGGAGTCCAGCCCGATGTGCCTCTGCCCGGTGTACCGCTGCCCGGAGTCCTGCCCGGTGTGCCAGTCTTTGATATCCCGCCAGTTACCAGACCCGGGCGGTGGAACATTTTTCCCAGCTAGGACTGTTTGGAGCGTCCTGAGGCCGCTCCTTGAGGGGGGGGGTACTGTCAGGAATGGACTGGCCAGCTATGGTGGGACTCACCTGCCTTTTGATCTGCAGTACCAGGGCTGGCCAGCGGGTGTTCCCAGCAATCAGAGACTCAACTTTGCAGCCAGCTAACACCTGTAACTGATTATGCTGGGGTATTTAAGGGATGGCCAGACCCACAGACTCTGCCTTGGTGTGTGTGTTTGTCCTGGGCCCTGCATCCTGTTTCTGTCCTGCATCCTGTTTCTGTCCTGCATCCTGTTTCTGAACCGCTGCTGACTTCTCCTGCTCTGATCCCGGCTCGCTCCTGACCATCCCTCTGTCTGACCCTCTGTACCACGCTGCTTGCTACCAGTTCTGATCCCTGGCTTGTGACCCTGACCAATCTCCGCTTGCTCCCCCTGTACCTACCTGCCCTATTGATATTGACCCGGCCTGCCTGACGACGCTTGCTTGTATGTACTGTTATCTGTGGGTGGTTTGGTTTGTTTGCACTGTGTTATGTTTGTATTGTTAGTGTTAATAAATTATATTGTTTATAACATATCTGAGGTCTGCGTTTCCCTGCGTCAGTCACACATCTCTGGTCACACCTGGGAGCCCTGACAGGGACCTTAGATTGTACGCCCCTTGAGGGTTAGGGATCTTAGATTGTACGCTCCTTGAGGGTTAGGGATCTTAGATTGTACGCTCCTTGAGGGTTATGGATCTTAGATTGTACGCTCCTTGAGGGTTATGGATCTTAGATTGTACGCTCCTTGAGGGTTAGGGATCTTAGATTGTACGCTCCTTGAGGGTTAGGGATCTTAGATTGTACGCTCCTTGAGGGTTAGGGATCTTAGATTGTACGCTCCTTGAGGGTTAGGGATCTTAGATTGTACGCTCCTTGAGGGTTAGGGACCTTAGATTGTACGCTCCTTGAGGGTTAGGGATCTTAGATTGTACGCTCCTTGAGGGTTACGGACTGATGTGAATGTACAATATATATGTAAAGTGCTGCGTAAATTGATGGTGCTATATAAGTACCTGAAATAAAATAAATAATCATGGCCTGAGAGGAGCAGTTTTTTTCTTTTTTTGGGGGGGGGGGGGGGGATCAGTGGGTGCGGGTTGTTTTCATTCGGCTGTGAGAGTGACACGCTTTTTTTTCTTGGTGGGTTTTTTTTTGTGGGGGTTATCAAGGCCTGAGAGGGGCAAGTTTTTTTTTGGGGGGGGGGGAGCAGTGGGTGACGTTTTTCTCATTTGGCTGTGATGGAGGAGTAGGTCTGTATTTTGGGGGTTTTTTTTGGGAGGGGGGTAATCTCTACACCCTGTCCAACTACCCTCCCAAAAAAAAAACAGATACGCCCTCCTCCATCACAGCCAAATGAGACAACCCCAACCCACTGCTTCCCCCAAAAAACTTGAGCTCCTCTCACGATATGATTCCCCCCACCCCCCCCCCCCCCAAAAAAAAAATGAAAACCCGAAAAAGACTCACTCTCACAGCCTGCACCCCCTCAAAAAATATAACCTAAGAGCCACTTTTAAAAAGTGGACAACTAAGTGGTCGGGTCATCTGCTCTCAGGTTGGCAGGCGCTGCACCTCTTCTCAAGTCCTCTCTGCTTGGTCCTGGTCGGTGTGTATCCTGGGCCTGGTCTGGATTCCGCTCTGCTTGGTCCTGGTCTGTGTGTATCCTGGGCCTGGTCTGGAGTCTGCTCTGCTTGGTCCTGGTCTGTGTGTATCCTGGGCCTGGTCTGGAGTCTGCTCTGCTTGGTCCTGGTTGGTTTACATCCTGGGCCTGGTTTTCGTGAGTCACCCTGGACAAAGACTGTCCATGACATCTGTCAAAAAATGCATGAGCATCCTGGGCATTTCGGGACTGTTGCCTTTACAGTGGTTCCAGGCCTAGTCTGCAGGGGGTCTTGGCCTGAGGCCCATGAGACATAGGACATTGGGACTATTTCCACAATGTGGGTGTTTTAACTTTGTATTTATATTTTTTTTAAGCAAAAAAGTAACAAACAAGTAACAAGGGTTGTTATGTACCCTGTACTCATTCACCTAGAGCAGCGGTCTCCAAACTGCGGCCGGATGTCGCCATTTGCTTGCCTGTTCCTCCCACTGTCAAAAAGGTTGAGGCACCATTCCTGCCACTGACACCAATGATGGGGCACTATTCCTCCCACTGACACCAATGATGGGGCACTATTCCTCCACTGACACCAATGACGGGGCACTATTCCTCCCACTGACACCAATGACGGGGCACTATTCCTCCCACTGACACCAATGACGGGGCACTATTCCTCCCACTGACACCAACAATGGGGCACTATTCCTCCCACTGACACCAACGATGGAGCACTATTCCTCCCACTGACACCAATGATGGGGCACTATTCCTCCCCACTGATACCAATGATGGGGCACTATTCTCCCACTGACACCAATGATGGGAGACTATTCCTCCCACTGATACCAATGATGGGGCACTATTCCTCCCACTGATACCAATGATGGGGTACTATTCCTCCCACTGATACCAATGATGGGGCACTATTCCTCCCACTGACACCAATGATGGGGCACTATTCCTCCCACTGATACCAATGATGGGGCACTATTCTTCCCACTGACACCAATGATGGGGTACTATTCCTCCCACTGACACCAATGATGGGGCACTATTCCTCCCACTGACACAATGATGGGGCACTATTCCTCCCACTGATACCAATGATGGGAGACTATTGCTCCACTGATACCAATGATGGGGCACTATTCCTTCCACTGACACCAATGATGGGGCACTATTCCTCCCACTGATACCAATGATGGGACACTATTCCTCCCACCGATACCAATGATGGGACACTATTCCTCCCACTGACACCAATGATGGGGCACTATTCCTCCCACCAATACCAATGATGGGGCACTATTCCTCCCATCAATACCAATGATGGGGCACTATTCCTCCCACCAATACAAATGATGGGGCATTATCCCTCCTACCAACCACAATGTAATTCTTTTACTCCTACTGACTACCTACCCTAGGAAATTTCTCACTCTCACTAACGTTGGTTTATTTTCTACTTCCCCTAGTGCCTGAAGAACCATAAACTGGCCCTTTGCTTAGAAACTTTGGAGACCCCTGACCTAGAGGACAAGGCGAGATATCTGGGGGCCCCATTATTTAATATGTAGTATGGTTCAGAAGGGGACCATCTCTTCTGTGGACAAGGGTCTAGTAAGGACTTTGGAGGTGGGCTGATAGGAATCAGCCTATGACTGTAGCCCCCTTGTCCTCGTTATTTTCACCCTCAGGCCTGGGAGAAATAAAGCTCCAGACACCGAAGTGTGCACAATAAATCTCTGAAAGTGTAATGCCTGACAAGAAGGGTGACCCAGAACTCAATCTTAGGATGATCAATGAAGCATTCCACATTTATCAATATAGTTACGTGAAGAGCAGAAACTGAGGGACACCATATAAGGTTTGTTTTTACAGTAAAATGAAACTATTTTCAGAAAACGAGAGAAAAGTTACAAGCGAAACTAACATGCCAGTGAATAAGATATTTCCTGACAGTTCCTCTCTTTTGTTACATAGTAACAACACATCAAATTTCACAGTTGTTCTTTTTTTCAGTATGCATCCGGGTTCTTTAAAAACTTGTCAAAAGTACACATACAAAGTTGAGCACCAACATAAATCATAAATATTAGTAAAAAAACAACAAAATCAGAATGCCTACTTTCTTAACCACTGGCCATCCTGAGGATTTACCCCCCCCCTTAATGACCGGGACTCTTTTTGTTACTCGGCGCTGCACTAATTCAACTGATAATTAATTAATTAACCATTTCAATACCGGGCAATTTTACACCTTCCTGCCCAGGCCAGTTTTCATGTTTCAGCGCTCTCACACTTTGAATGACAATTGCGCGGTCATACAACATTGTACCCAAACTAAAATTTTATCATTTTCTTCACATAACTAGCGCTTTCTTTTGGTGGTATTTAATCACCGCCGGGGTTTTTATTTTTTACTAAATTAACAAAAAAAGACCAAAAATTTTGAAAAAAAAAAAAGTTTTTCTTTGTTTCTGTTATAAAAGTTTGCAAATAAATAACTGTTCTTCATAAATTTAGGCCGAGATGTATTCTGCTACGTCTTTGGTGAAAATAACCCAAATTAGGATGTATTTTTTAGTTTGTAGGAAAGTTATAGAGTTCACAAACTATGGGATAGATCTGAATATTGATCAATCCTGAAGTACTGAAGGCCAATCTAATTTCTTGAGGTCCAAGAATGTCAGAACAGGACAGATATCCCCAAATGTCAGGACAGTACAGATATCCCCCAAATGTCAGGACAGTACAGATATCCCCCAAATGTCAGGACAGTACAGATATCCCCCCAAATGTCAGGACAGTACAGATATCCCCCCAAATGTCAGGACAGTACAGATATCCCCAAAATGTCAGGACAGTGCAGATATCCCCCCAAATGTCAAGACAGTACAGA